ACACCTACTGATAACAAGTATCGCAGGCAAGACTGTGAAATGGAGACACTAGCATATCTTTGCTGAAGAAAACAAATGGGTAATTCAGAGGGAAAGAATTTATTTGGAGTCAAGTTGATCTTGGCTGGAAGTGAACTCAGCTGAGCCCTACAACTTCACAAACAAGGACTTAAGTCTCGGTAGTAGCCATTAACAGCGGAGGTATACTCACCCAACTCTGTTATTTGACATGCCCATTTGAGTCACATAAAGAGTCCGTCAGACTCCTAAAATAATACAGTGAAATTGTGGAGGGGGAAGAAGCTTGTGTCACTTATAGTCTGCTAATACTGAGCAGAGGTGTATGCTACATTTTTTTCCTCTGACCTTCAGGACCCCTCCCCTTACAGGAATTTATCCTCACTATGTCCTGTCTCAATACCATTGACAATAACTAACTAAAATGAAAAGCTAGCAATTAATTTAATCTGAGGGTTGAAATAACTCTGCAATGAAATTTTGAAACGATGAAAGAAAGTGAAGAAGACACATTCACACACAAAGGAAAAACAGCTCATGTTCATGGCATGTAAGAAACAATGTTGTTACAATATCCATATTATTCAAAGCAATATACAAATTGAAGGGAAACTTCTATCAAAATATCAAGGACATTCCTCACAGAAATAGAGAAAACATTCCTATAATTAATATGAACTTACAAAGGAGCCAGAGTAGCCAAAGCAATCCTGAGCAAAAAGAACAAAGATGGAGTCATTAAAACACACAATTTCAAAACACACTACAAAGTTAATGTAACCAAAGAGCATGGTATTGGTGAAAATACAGACACAGGCAATGAAAGAAAATAGAGAACATAAAAATGACTCTATGAGGGCTGGGGATTTAGCTCAGTGGTTCTGCCGCCTGCCTTGCAAGCGCAAGGACCAGAGTTCAATCCCCAGTACCAAAAAAAAATGACTGTATGTATTCATAGCCAATTTATTTTGACAAAGGCACAAAGAACCAACATTGAAGAAAGGATGGTCTCTTCAATAAATGATGCTGGGTAAACTGGATATGCATATGCAGAAAGATGAAATCAGACCTCTATCTCTCAACATAAACCAATAAACTCAAAATTGGGCAAATATTTAAATGTGAGACACAAAACTACAAAGCTACTGGGAGAAAACATAGGGAAAACTTTAAGACACTGGTCTCAGCAAACATTTTTATATTACCCCAAAAGTACAGAAGACAAAAGCAAAAATTGACAAATTGGGTTACATCAAACTAAAAGTATTGCACAGCAGAGGAATCAATCAACATAATTAAGAGACCACACATGGAAAGAGAGAAAATATTTACAAACATTTAATCAAAAACAGATTTTCAGAATATAGAAGGAACTCAATTCAAGAGCATAAAACAAATAATCCAATTTTAAAATGATGAAATGGTCTGAAAGATGTTTCTCCAAATAAGATATATGAATGACCAGGGAATACATGAAAAAATATTCACCATCACTAATCAGGGAAATGCAAATCAAAACCACAATAATGTGTCACCTCACACTGGTTTTCATCTGTACTATATAAAAATAATAAAAGATAAGTATTGGTGAGGATGTAGTGAAAAGAAAACACAAACTGTGTTGGTGAGAATATAAATTGGTACAGTCAATTGGTATAACATAGGTTCCTCAAAAAATTAGAAATAGAACTACCAGATGATCCACCAATCCCAGTGCTGGGTATACAGTAGCTTAAGAAATTCAAATGAGTATTTTAAAGAGACACCTGCACTCTTGTGTTTATTGAAGTACTATTCATTATAAGCAAGATATAGAATCAACCTAAGTGTCTATCAATGGAGTTATGAATAAAGAAATTGAACTAAAAAAAGAAATAAAATGTGACATATAAACACAGGGAATATGATTCCACCATAAAGAAATGAAGTTCTTTCATTTGTAGCAATATAGATGGAACTGGAGGACATTATACTAACTGAAATAAGTTAGGCACAGAAAGACAAATACTTCCTAGTCTCATTTATATATGGAAGCTGAGAAATTTATTTCATAAAAGTAGAGCATAAAATAGTGGTTACTAGAGCCTAGGAAGGGTTGGAGGGCATAGGGATAGAATGAGTATAGTTAATGGATACAGGGATGCAATTGGATAGGAGGAATAACTTCTAATATTCTCCTGTACAGCAGGGAAACTATGACTGAGAACAATTAATTTATATTTCAAAATTGCCAATAAAGAAGGTTTTGAGCATTCCCTGTCAGGAGTCATTCTACATAATTTGGGGGAAAATCGTTTCATAATTAAAGCATGACTATAGCTGTCTAAGGCCCAATGTCACCTTGCCCGAGAGCCAGCTATGGCATATAGAAACATAACTGTTTTAGCTCTGGTCACAAGTTGAGGCCTTAATGATCCCATGATACTATGATGCTCAAGGGCAAGAGTACATTAGCTGAAGGCATCCTGATTCTTTGAAAATGGGGTAATAATAAAAAAAGAGAAAAGTTTCACCTGGGGGAAGGACAAGATCTTTATTAGCATGCTATCTTGTCCCATCTACTGTTAGAGAATGCTCTCCTTACTGCTCTCATTAACATAAGATCCTCAGTGACCTAAGATCCTCATCAACATAGGATTACTGCCATGCCGTAAGTCATCTGATACTCCCTCCAAATATTGTATGTATCCAATAAATAACTGCTAGCTTGGAGTGTCTTTGTTTTTGCCCACTCTGAGGCACTGACCTCCCGGCCCCACATGTACTTTGAAATTACGCAATTCTCTATTGTCTTTCTTTCTTTAGCCCTCACTGGTCCCCTTTCTTGCCAGTCAGGATTGATCGCCCTCTGATAGTTCCCAACACAGAGAAATTTTAGACGTTTGAAGTGATTGATATGCCAATTACTCTGATCAGGTCATAACACATTATATACATACATTGAAATATCACAGTGCACCCCATAAATATGTATAATTATTATGTCAATTTTTAAAAAATTAATGTGTATAGATTAAGATCTCCAATCAAAATGCAGCTGCTCTCAGAATTTTTTTAAAGATGCAATAGTACAAATGGCCAATAGGTATATGAAAAAATATTCAACGTCTTTGTTATAGTTTTTATCCAGATGTTCCTCAAAAGCCTCATGTGATCATAGGTGGGAGCTTTGGAAGGTGATTGAACGATAGGGGCATTATAGCTGACTTGCTATTAGGAAGTGGGGCCTCGTCAGAAGAGGCAGGTCACTATGGGCACGACCTAGAATGTTACATCTCTCTTCCCGGCTCCTCCTCTTTCTGCTTCCTGTCCACCGTGTCATAAGCAGCTCTCCTCTACCATGCCCCTCTGTCATGCCATCCTGCCTTAGAACCAGGTGACTATAAACTGTAATTGTAAGCCAAAATAAACCTCTCTTCCTTGAAGAGGTAAGCGTTGGGTTTTGTTTCCCAACAATGAGAAAGATGACTAAGACAGGTTTTGGTGTGGGAAATGGTGCTTGCTAAAGGCCAAGAGAGTATAGAATGAATTGTAGAAGGTCGTTATAAATACCAGCTACAACCACATGTCCAGTTATAGAAACAAAGATTATAATTGCAATTTTTCTTTATTTTGTTAATACTCTTGTGTATACATTCACATATATTATAAATAAGTATTTATGTTTTCTTTGTAACATAATGTTGATAGACTTAATATTGGTTAATTATTATTAAATCTAAATATAATGTGCAAGTTATGAAATATTAAGAGAGATGCAAGATGGCCATATGTGTATCACCCAAATAAAAACTGCTTTCTATTCTGGGGAGGGAATTAGTGCACATCCATTTGTTCACAGGATAGTTATATTACAGTAAGGATAATTATGAACTTTCTATTGTATTTGGAAACTATGGTTTAAGATGTGTTTGCTTGTCAAGTTGACAAGGGGTTGACTGTGATAGTTAATTGTGATATGTCAATTTGAATAGATTAAGAAATGCCTAGCAGATTAGCAGAGCATAGTTCTACGTGTGTCTGTGGATGATTGACATGTAGACTGAGGAGGGTACACCAACCCTGGATGTGGGAGGCAGCAACCAATAGGCTTATAGCCTGGATGGAAAAAAGGGAAAGAAGAAGAAAGTCTTTCCTTTTGCTTCTTGGGAGGACCCAAGACTTTGTCATTACCTTTGGATTTCATCTTTAGTTCCTTCAGGCTTCCAGCAGACTCTTTAGCCTTTCAACACAGACCCTCTGGCTTTCTGACACAGACTCACCCTGGACTCTGCAGTGAGCTCCAGGCCTTCGAACTTTGGATCCTCCGATTTTCCAATGCACAGATTGCCATCTTGCATTCTTCCACCTCTGATTTTACAGGCAGCCATTGTAAGCCTCTTTAGTAAATCTTTTATATATCATATATTTTATATTAAATTGTGGGGGCATTGGCTAGAGGTATGTATGAGATGGATATGCACAGGTAAGGGACTTTTGGAGCCACACACTCCAAACTTCCTGGAATGTATGGTTACAGATTAAAAGATAACTTACAGGGCCACAAGTCAAGTAGGATCAAAATGCATTGCCTTAAGGAATGAATGTTCTGGTCTTTGTTCTCCCCATATTCCCATTTATCATTTAGATTGGTCTCAAAGTCAGTCATTTAACACACCACCCTGATCTTTCCCTGTCCTCCTCCATCCCCTTTAAGAGTTCCTGCATAGACACCCTTCTTTTTTATTTTATTGTTGCTTCGTGGTTATATCAATGAAAGGCCACGGAGGCTTCAGTTTGGGGTTGTCATTTGAGACTTTCTCATGCTGAGGGATTGTGGTTAATGGCAGACCCCTTGGGCCCTCTTGGAGTATGGATTGGACATTGACTCTGAGTAGTCTTTGAGTAATTTTTCACCCTTTTGTGCCATGCCACAATTGCCAACTGTGACATTAAATCTGTTCCTCTACTGAACCCTAACTGTTATAATCTTTCACCACCAGGGGAATGCAAATCAAACTATATTGAGATGCCATATCACTCCAGTCAGATTGGCTATCATCAAGAAGACAAAAAAGAACAAATGCTGGCAAGGATGTGAGGGAAAATGAAGACTTCTATACTGTTGGTGAAAATAAAAATGAGTACAGTCACTAAGGAAAGCAGTACAGCATTTCTCCAAAAACTAAACATGGAACTACCATTTGATCCAGCTGTACCACTCTTTAGTTATTCCCCCCAAAATTAAAGTAACATACTAAAGCGACATCTGTATAACCATGTTTGTTGTAGCATAATTCACTATAGTTAAGCTGTGGAACCAGCCTAGGTGTTCATCAACGATGAATGAATAAAGAAAATGTGATATATAAATGGAATATTACTCACCCATTAAAAGAATTAAATCATGTCATTTGCAGGAAAAATGAATGGAACTAGACACAATCATGATAAGGAAAATAAACCAGCTCTGAAAGACAATTATGAATTTAACTTCAGATATTTGAAGATTCACAAAATTTTCTTCTGTTGCACATTTCTAGCTTAATTTCAGTGTGGTTTGAGAAGACAATGTGTATATACCCTGTAGTTTAGATCTGAAATGTTACCCAATGGCTCATATATTAAAAGGCTACAGTCCTTGGCACTGTTACAAGGTGTTGGAACCTTTAGAAGGTGAGGCCAAATAGAAAGGAGTTAGGTCATTCAGGCATGCCCTCAAAAGTATATTGTGACCAAACCTCCTTTCTGTCTCTCTTTTTGCTTCTCGACCACCATGAGGTGAAGAGGCTTCCTCTGCCACTTGCTCCCAAGATGATGTGTCTGTCATGCTGCCATAAGCCCAAAGCAATAAGGGAAAGGAGATAGACCTTAACCTCTGAAACCACAAGCAAAAATAAACCTTCTCTTATTAATTTGATTATCTTAGGTAATTTGTCACAATGATAGAAAGCTAGCTAACACAAAATCAATTCTTAAATTTGAGGCTTGTCTTATGGCCTTCCATATCATTTATATTTTAGAAGCTTCCATATGCTTTTGAGAAGAATATATATTCTGGTTGCTGGTTGGAGTGCTCCAAAAATGTCAGGTCTACTTTATAGTGCTGTTTAAATATTCTATATCCTTGTCTATTTCTATCTCATTTTGCTCTCTATTATTTTTTTGGTACCAGGGATCGAACTCTGGTCCTTCTGCTTGCGAGGCAGGCAGCAGAACCACTGAGCTAAATCCCCAGCCCCTTCATTTTGCTATCTATTATAGAGTTGGGGCATTTAGGTCTCCAACTATTATTGGTGAATCTTCCATTTATGTCTTCAATTTTGTTAGTTTTTTGTGTCATGTAGTATTGGGCTCTCTTGTTAGGTGAAGATATGTTTATTATTATTTTCTCCTGTTGAATTGATTCTTTTTTCATTATAAATACCTACTTTTCTCTTGTAAAACTATTTATAGGGAACAGAGAAAGGGGATGTTACTAGAACCTCTGCAGTGAGTCCTAGTCTCCTCCGAGCCATGGCAGCACAAGGCAAATTAACTAATCATACAGGAAAGGTAGAAAAAAATGAGACTTGGAGAAGAAGCTGAGCTTTGGGCCTGATCAGTGCTGCTCTGGGCAGCAAAGACGAAAGCCTGGGAGCTTGCTGCACCTTTTATTCAGTACATCGGGAGAAACAAATGTAGCAAATGACTTGCAGAGAGTTCAGTACATCAGGATAAACAAAGTGTAACAAATGACTGGGGGGTGGCAGAAATCCAAGAACAATGAGGAGCTGAGTAGATGAAGATTTTGTTCCTCCTAGGATGTCTTCAGCTGGTGTAATCTTGTCCTGGAGCACCACAGCATCACCAGATCACTGAGGTCTCAGTTGTCACCAGAGGCCAAAATGGAATTATATCTCGAAATGCCATAGCTGGCCTGAAGGCAGGAGAACTAGGCCTAATCAAATGATTTTTCCCTAAAATTATATAGCATTGCTCCTGAAAACTATTGATCTTAAGGCCCATATTTTCATTAGTATACATACTACAGATCTATTATAGGTACTGTTTGCATAAAATTTCCCAAAACTTTTACTTCAAATCTTTCTCTTTCAATACAATGTCTCCTGTAGCTATCATTGCATCTTTTTTAATACTCTATATTATGAAGGGTTTCATTCAGCAGTCATACATGCATATAACATACATTGATAATCCACCCAATAACCCTCTTACCCTCCCCTCTCCTCTTCCCTTCTCTTTCCTCTTCACTAACAGTATAGCATCTACTTTCATATTTCTTCTCTTTCTCTCTCATTTTTAGGTTCCACATATGAGAGAAAATGTATCATATTTGTCACAGAAATTAGAAAGTATTTTGAGCTGATATAAACAGAACACATCACAGGAAAATTTACCAGATACACCTAAATCAATCCTTAGACAAAAATTTATAAAAGTACATGTCTATAAGATAGTCTTGGTTACTTTCTCATTGCTGAGACACAGTACACAGTACCCACAATGTACAGGAGGACAGGTTTATTTTGGCTCATAATTTGTATAGGTTTGTCCATAGCTGGCTGGCTCTAAGGCTAAGCAGAAGGGAGGGGAGCAACATCTCATAGCATGGTGGTAGGAAGCAGAGATCAAGGCAGGAAGGAGGAAGATAGACCATTCCAGACTACATCCCAGTGAACCACCTCCTCTGACCGGGCTTCACCTACCAACATCACATTTAGCTTTAAACTCACTGATGAGTAACAAGCCCCCAAGATCCAATCACCTCCCAAATGTCTCACCTATGCAGACATGAGGCTTTGGGGGAGATCTAGATATAAATCATAATAGATCTTAAATCAGTAACCTAAATCTCTGCTTTAATAAACTAGAAGAAAAAGAATAAACTAAACTCAAGGCAAGGAGAAAGAAGATAATAATAATATTACTGTGCAACTCAATGGAATAGGCAGTAGAACTATACAGAAAACTAATGAAACCAACAGGCGACTTTGTGAAAAGATAAATGAAATAGAAGAATCTATACCTAGACTGACCAACAAAAAAAGAAAACACAAAATTACTAGTCATAATAAAGAAATGGGCATTACTACTAACTACAGAAATTTAAAAAATTATAAGGTACTACCATGAACAATTTTAGGCTAACAAATTAAACAACTTACATAAAATTAATAAATTCCTAGAAAGACAAAAAGTAGTGAAATTGACTTAATTTTTATTGATTGACTGATTGCAGTGCTGGGGATGGACCCGGGACCTCATGCATGCTACTACCACTGATCTACTGACTTTAAATATTTTTTATTAAGTTTATTTATTGGTACATTTTAGGTATACAAATACATTTGTCACTGGGATCTTGTACCTTTACATGATGTATCTTGGTTCTTATTTTTTCCCCATTCACCGGCCCTCCCTTCACCCCCTCCACCTTCCTTATTTACAAATAATTTGTTTCCATTTTTTTCTTTTCTCATATTTTTTCTTTCCCCTTCTTTCCTTTCCCCTATCCGTCCCATTTCCCCTATTCCTTTAGACCTTTTCTTCCTATTTCACAACATTAATTATACATTTTGATCCTTATTTACACTTTTAGTTTTTCACACCAGAGAAACTATTTGGTATTTACACATGTGTGTCCTATTTATTTCAGTTAAGAGTATGGCCTCAATGTGCATCCCTGACTTTAAATATTAAGAAACTAAATCATGGATGTGGCCCTGAGTTCCATACCAAAGCATCAGGAGAAAAAAGTAATTGAATATATATATATTATATTATATTAATATATAAGCATATATATATGCTTATATATTAAGACCAAGTGGTATTTATCATAGGAATGAAAGGTTGATCAAAAACAAAATTAATTTACATAACAAAACATAAGAGAATAAAGGAGAGAAATCCATAATCACTTCAATTGACATAGAATATGTATTTGACAAAACTCAGCAGCTAATCTTGATTTTTTTGTCTTTTGGTGGTGGTAATGTGGGCTGAATCCAGTGGCTAATGCATACTAAGCATGTACTCTACCAATGAGCTACATTCTCCACCCCACCATTTTAATTTGTGTGTGTGTGTGTGTGTGTGTGTGTGTGTGTGTTTGACTGAGGATCAAACCCCCAACCACCGGGGCACTCAACCTTTTTCTTTCTTTCTTTCCTTTTTTTTTTTGAGACAGGCTTTCACTAAGCTGCTCAGACTGGTCTTAAAACTTGTGATTCTCTTGGCTCAGCCTCCTGAGTAGCTAAGATTACAGGCGTGTACCACTTTGCTGACTTGATTTTTTTTTAAAGGAATTCAACAAACTAGAAATAGGAAACAATCTAATCGATCTATTGAAGGGCATTTACAAAACAAACAAAAACTACAGTCAAGGGAATAGTTAATGATAAAAGACTTAATCATTTTCCATTGATAATTGGAATGAATCATAGAATTTGCTCTCAACATTTCTATTAAACAATGTACTTAGTCCAAATTCAAACCCACGCAATCAGGCAGAGTGAGTGCAAGACTGAGAGCATTATCCAGATTACCTGATCTTAAATACTATGGAATTCATAAATGCATACACACATGCACACCTACATACACACACACCTGCACACAGATGTACTACACCTGGTTAACATGTTGAGTAAGGTCACAGTTTACTACATCAATACAAAAAAACTCTAGTTTATTAACACCATGCATTCCAAAAATGAAGTTAAAAAAATAATTCCATTCACAATAATATTTTTTTTCCGTAAACTCTTTTCTTCGTAGATTTTAGGTATACAATACATTTACATTTATCATTGGGCACTTGTACATATACATGATGTATCTTGGTTCTTATTTTTTTCCCCATTACCCGTGCACCCTTCACCCCCTCCAACCTTCCCTATTTACATAGATTTCATCTCCATTTTTTATCTTTTCTCATAATTTTTCCTTTCCCTTCTTTCTTTTCCCTTTCCCCTCTCACTACCCATACCCCTTTGGATGTTTTCCTATTTCAAATTATCAATTATTCATTTTAATCATTTTAATCCTTATTTACACTTTCAGTTTCTCACACTAGAGAAACTATTC